TAGACTGGTTTGGGAGCACAGGTGAGTCATACCTCAGAGACGCCAAAATTTGTAGATGAGGGAAAGAGCAGAAGACAGGCTTTGCAGGAAAATTTCCATTCTAGCATAAGCAAGTTAGGGCAGTCCCAAGAACCCTGGATTAGTGCTACTAATGGAACTTCTTTTGAACTTTCAGCTGCTAATGAAGAGGTAGGAGGCCAGGGAATCAGATTACATAAGGAAGACAAGTATCTGGCCTACATGGCCAATGCTCAAGGGAACTGGAAACAGAGGCTAGAATATAATTCTGAGACTAGAATGTGGTTTGGAAATTGGAAGGATCCATTAAAACTCTGGTAACTGGGTAATCTTATTGTCCCTCAACAGCAAGAGTTTGTGCATCCAAACTTAAAAATTGCTCCCCTAGAAATCTTCTGCATGTCTCTACTTCCTTCTGTGTGTCTTTCAGCTTTGCACGATATAACTGTTTAACGCGAGGTACTGACTGCTTAACTCTCAGTATGTAGTCAGTTCCCCCAAAGAGGCAATGGTGATACAACCAACTCACCATCATCCCCAGAGACAGAGCTCTCATGCCAGATTGCCTCACAGGCTTCTTGCCAACCTATAACTGAGTGTCAATAAGTCAGCTGCCTAATCTGATAAAGTCAGCTGTGATCAGGGCGGAAAGGTGACTTGACGGCAGATGGAGACTTAACAAAAAAAAGAACCCCTAAAAAGGAGGCAATGGGAAGGTAATAGTTATTAGGTCTGTTCACAAATATTCCCATTCTCCTGGGCACAGGACAGGATCACACATCCCGCACCCACACTGACCACATGACTTGCTTTGACAAAAGCAATGTGAGTGGAACTGACATACATCACATCCAGGTAGACATTTTAGGAGCCCTTGCATGATTCATCATGTTCTCTTTCTCCTGTTGTAACAACAGTGGAAGTAAATACTGAGATAGAGCTTACATTAGCCTGGGTCCCTGAGTGCCTATAGTAAGCAGAGACCCCCAACCAACTCACATTGGACATGTAGCTTGAGCAGGAAATGAACTTTTGTTAAGCCTCAGAGATTGGGGGGTTGTCTTCTTATCACAACATAACCTAGTTTATGCTGACTGATAAAGGTTTGGCAGATATTCTTGAACTTGATCCAGTGAGGATTATAGAGTATATAAAAGCCATCCCCAAGGGACTCCCAGAAATAGAAAGGAGACTTTATGTAAGTGGAAACTAGGAAAAGGCCAAGAGGTCCTACAAGAGTTAGGGGTGAAAGCCAAAGGAATAATGTTTATTACTATTGATCTAACTCTATATTTACGTCTTGAAAACACAGGATATATTTACATGAGAAAATACATTTGAACCTTTGACCCAAAAAAACACAAAAATCTTACTGGAGATAACACATTATAAGGAGTTTGTTATTGTTTTTATCTTAGAGGATTTCGAGTAAGTCAATTCTTTTAGCTCACATTCAACATGAATCTAACACATAGCAAATTATATTTTGTGGCAAATAAGGTCATAGATGGTTCCATTATGTGATGACTATAGCATGATCTAGCAGTTTATATCTCCTTCAGAGAGTATACAACATTGAGATGTAAATTCTTCTAATCGCAATTCTGCATAAATAGACTTTCTGCACTGCATTGCCAAACTTGGATCTTGAAAGTGATAAAGTGCAGATGTCTACAGTTGCAATCATAAAAATGTAATTGCTGAGAAAAAAATTATTTCTGATCCATTGGAGGAATTTATTACAGAGAGATGCAACTGTGTTAAGTTATCACACAGAGAAAATGAAAGCAAATGATTGAAATATATTCCAGGCTGAACATCCCTGCGAAATGACCTAGTGATTTACCTGTGCCCAAGAGAAAAAAAAAAAACAGATTAAAGATAAATCAGGTTTGGTGGGGAAGCCTCTGGTAACTATAAAAAGAGTAAAGACTTACTAATAAATGAATTTAGAAGTCAGAGTGACATAATAGTATCTATGACCAATTACTCTGAACATTAAAATGTAATTTTGACTTTGAGTAATATACAGAAGTGGTAAGTAATATCTGTGGAAGCTTGAAAGCCAAGGAATATAATAACATGAAGATAAATAATGAGGAAAGGTGAGAATTTTCTTAATGGGGTTACTAAATTGATAACTTTATCTGGCGGCACAATGAACCTAAAAATCATTAACTTCTTTTGGAATGTTTTCCAGTATAATCAGAGACTATATCACATACTTAAAATAAACCATGTAACTATTTCAGATTAAACACTCTTTGGAAAAAAAAAGAATGTGATGAGATATTTAGTATGATGCTATTCTAGAAAAAAACACCTTTAATATAATTTAATGGAATTTTTTACTTGTATTGATAGGTGATACATGATCAAAGTGACAGATACAAGAAGGCTGTGTATCCAATCCAAAAAGATCAGTAATTTTAATAACACTTGAACTTTGAAATGCATTAGTTTTTCATAAGGAGAATCCATTATAATGAAAATCAAAAGTGTGTTCAAATAATTTTGTTGTACTAGAATTCTCCTTTATGAGATAATTCCTGAACATAGTAAATATTCTATAAATTATTAATATTTGTAATTTAATTGGACTTGAATATTGCTAAGATCTAGAAACTTTTTTCCTAACTGAAATATTGGTGAAGCGGTATACCCAAACTGCCTTTAAGAAATTAATAAAAATTTTCAAAAACATTGACAACAATCATAGGGAAAATAATTTTAACAATTTACACTTACATGTAACTGAGAACTATCTGGTATAGAGTAAGTACTAATTTCCCTTTCCCTGACTCATCTACTTGCAGATCATGAAAAGTATGAGTCCAGGCACCACATTAAAAGCCCTCTAAAATTAGCATAATCACACTTTTTAAATGAGTTAAATTTCTTTCCAATCAAATAAAATTACTTTGGGTCATTTTCACCCTTTTAATTTTCTAGGTGGACTCAATAAATGTTTATAGATTAAATAGCTTTTAAACACACCAGAAAATACACACAAACTGTGAACAGCATACTCTTTAATGTGAATTTACCTAGAATACTCTCTACTGACTGCTACATCAATGTACTTGACTAAAGCAAAACATCTATTGGTTTCAGTTAGAATAAAAAAGTAGTTTCTCCATAATGATACCTTCTCTGTTCATAAGCAATATGTCAGCAGCCTTTGTGATTGGCAAGTCTTAAGTGATCAACTCTAATGTTCCATTGTTATGGGACAAATAAGGGTTATGCAGTAGCATTAATGCACTTGCCTTTACCAGCTATCTCCAAAATAAAGGCCATTTCCCCACCCCACACCCAGTAATTGCATAGGAACAAAATCTTAAATCACTTGTGAGAACTTATTTCAAACTCCCCCCACCCCTAAAATTGGTGATACATATGAAAAAACATAAGAATTCTCATATCTTGGCCACTTACTTTTACATTTAGCAACTAATTCTAGGGAAACAATTTGAACTGATGACAAAAATTCATACACAAAGACATTCAGCACAGCACTATTTATAACAGGAAAAAAGTAGAAACAACCTAAATGTCAAAAAATGAGAGACTACTTAAAAAAACTATGGTGCAGCCATATGATGGATAAACAGCAATTTTATTAAATCATGCTTACAGAGAATGAAGAAATTATCAAAATATCCTTTTAAATGGAAGAGTAAGATATAACCTACATATACAGTACTATCTCCACCTTGTTTACATATATTCTTTATATATATATATGTATATATATTCTTTAATATGATAAAGTACTAAGGTAATAAAAATCAACCACAATTTTACTGTACTGGAAGTAAATGCATCCAAATATGAATGTTTACCTCTTGGTGGTAAAACTGTGAATGGTTTTTTATCTTCTTTTTGTTTTATTTTGTTTTCCTTTTCCAATTTTTCCAGTGAACTTTATTAGAAAAACAACAAATAAGTTTTTTTGCTTCTTTTTAACATAAGACCATTCAATGGGTGGCTAAGATGGGACTTTAATGTAGTCTTCATAGTCATGTAGTATCAGTTTCATACCAGATCTTAGTGCCTTTTAGACTGCCAAAGTTCATGATTAACCTATGATCAGTGAGGCATATGTTTTAAATTGTCTTTCCAGTAGCAGATATTGACTTGTGCTAAGCAAAAAAGCGTACAAAGTCTATTCTCAGGGCTACTCCCCTCCGCACCACCCACCCCACAGAGAAGATAAGCAGAACATTTTTGAAGCATCAGAGGTAAGGTCAGTGTAGCTTCTCACCCAAGTAACCACTGAATGTTTCAAAGCCTTAAAAAAAGGGACAATTTGTCTTAGGGGGTATGATGTAAGGTAAGCCCAAAGGGGAGTTCCCTCACAAATTTGGGGATAAGGATAAAAAATTTAAATCTATACTATGGTATAAGTTTCTTCAAGCTCTGCTTTAAGAAAATCAAATAAATAAAACCTAGACTTACATAATAAGTAAGTTGGAGAATCATTATGCATGCTACCAAAGGATTGTTCACTTTATGAAAGACTTTATCACAGAATTCCTTAAATAGCTGCTTTTCTCATAGATTTTGGTATTTTAAAAATAATTTCCTATTTGACAAATGAGACACCAAGTACCTTGGGGCAAGTCACTGAAATTCTCCAGGCTCAGTTTCCTCATCTACATAATAAGGATGGTTTTAACCAGGCTACCTGCCTCACTCAGTTCATGACTTTCAAACAAGATAATTTATATAAAGGTACTTTGAAAATGACATATACATGCCATTACTGCTATTGCTTTTAAAAGAGAAACTGTGGGGAGGACTTTCAGAATTTTATTATTTTTATTACTAAATACATACTTTTTTACATTTTAACAACACTTGATGACATGATCATTCTATAAAAAGCAAATCTTTCCTTGGTTCATTATCTATTTCCCCCACATTTTTTAGTTCTTCTGCAGTTACTACAAACACTGTAATTTCCATGGTATTAATACCTGGATTATGAGAGGCTCCAACAGCTTCTCCACAGTGAATGTTTGGACCCGCAAATCCTGAGGATCAATATTCAGTGTGAGTGGTGTTTCAGCTGACATGTTGCCTGTGGACAAAAACAAAAAGACACTTACTAATAAAGAAAAATACTTTCTAAAAGAGAGGACAAATGAATATCATAGAGTACGTGAGATTTGTATGCAGCACCTCTTTCTGATATCAGCTGTAGCCCTCAGAGGACCAGGGTGTCAAGTCCACCAACAGAGAAACGAGATACTCTCCAACTGTTCTTCGAGGTCATGCTGTCTGGGCCTAGGTCCTCTAACAAATTAATCTATGCTAGTATGTTCATGACTAAAATAATAACCCAGCACAGGTGGGTTTGCATTTGATCAGGAGCCTGAAGCGAAAAAGAATGGCTGAGTTGGTGAGACACAGCTTACAATACACAAGTCCTTTGACTTCCATGAAATTATAGCAGTGAGCCTGCCAGAGCCCATATTTTGCCTGTTGTTGTTAATGATGACTCAGATGAGGAGCCAGGTAGGACTTTGAAAGACATGTGATACATCCCTACTTGTTTGGGGAATTGTTTATTTGAGGGTTTTGATTGGAGAAGAAAGTTGGGGGCAATTTACTTTCTTGTACAGAAAAGAAATGAACATAAATTGGCATAGTTATTATAAAAAGAGGGAGAAATCTCTGAGAAGGCACTGATATTTGGGCAAGACAAAATTTTTTTAAAAAAAATTATAAGCCATTCTTTAAGGCATTAATATTAGTCTTAAAAATCAATTCAGTTAGATTTTTCCATAAGAATACACATATATACCAAATGACCATAAGTGGCATATCATAACATATTCAAAGTAACATATCAGCCGTGAAGACTATTACCCAAATCACTAAGCCTAGAAATTTGTATTAACTTGTTCACAATCAATAATCAACCAGCAAGTATTTACTGAATGTCCACGGAGATAAACAGTAAGAGACACCTCTCTCCTATACTATATAACTTGGCCTGCTAAAAAAATAAATTTATAGTCCACATAAACAAGTATTACTATCAATGCAAAAACCTTCCCACTTAGCTGTTACCTACTTTGTTCTATAGTTTCCTATATTTGCAGGCTAAGAGAACATAAGAATCTGCCCCTAGAAAATATCCTGATATTCTCTATGATACCCATAGAAACCAAAACAAAAAAGAAAGTATTACTTTTACTTTAGTTTCTCTATTTATTATTTTAGATATAAGAGTGGATAATTGTTTTCTTTTTAATTGACTGATTAGCTCCATGAACGGACAATGGATGTATAGATGAATGAGTGAATGAATGAGCATACATTTTCCGGGTGCCACTCTTATTCAGAATCAGTCCCTCAATGATCCTCTCACTCTCAGTGATTCTAGAAGAGAGGATTGTTCTTTTTCCTATACCTCTGCCTCCAACCCCTAAGGGATATCTGAATCTCAGTGTAGGGCCCACGTTTCCTCCCAACTCCTTCCCCTGAGAGTCTACCGCCATTCTTCTTCTAGCCTTTTTCAAATCCCACTGGCCTACTTCCATAAAATCAACATCTCTTTGCTCTTCAACCTCTCCTACTCCACTGGATCCTTCCCCTGGACCCATAAATGTGTTATTGTATATATTCAAAGATAATCATAATCTCTATACGTATGCGCAAGTGAAAAGATCAGTGCTTCACCAAGGCCTTTCCATACCGTACACCTGATATACACACAGAGAGAGAGACACACACACAAAACCATCCTGTAACTAAAAAATCATCCTCACTGACTCTTACCTTGACATACTCTAATTCTTAGGTTAATAACATAGTTTGTTTTTTAAAAATAGAGGCAAATACTGTAGAGTAGAAGCCTTACTGCTCTTCAGATGTTATGCCACATGATGACACTCCATGATTCTCTTCCTATAAAAATGGATATTTGAAGTATTCTTGAGAATAATAGGAATCTGCCAAAAGGCTGTCCCCAGTGACTTAACTTAGAAATCTGTACCTAATCAAAATAGTGAATTTCAAAAATGCTTAAAATCAAATATACTCATAGTACTTAAAATTCTTTCATGTATCTTCAGCAAAGTTTGACATTAAAAACAAAGACAATTAAGGTGAAAGTCTCAAAAGAACCAATTATGACAAATCTAAAAATTTAATGAAAGCATTTAAGTACAATTACATACTCCAAATTTGACTATACTATTAAAAACACTAATGCATACTAATCCTTTTGTGTATAGTATCAAAACATTTTCTAGTCAACTCAGGAAATTATAATAAGCAATTTGAAATGGAAAAAAAGGATAATTTATGTGCTGAGTGTCCTAGGATTACTCTAGCCACATTTTCAAGTAGCTATAATACATTATTTATTCATCTACTAGAAACTACTGTCATCCCTCAGTATCCCTGGGGATTGGTTCCAGGACCCCCGTGGATACTGCAATCTAGGGATGCTCAAGTCCCTTATAAAAAAATAGCATAGTATTTGCATATAACCTACACACATCCTCCCGTATACTTTAAATCATCTTCAGATAAGTTATAATGCTTAATACAATATTGACGCTATGTAAATAGTTGTTATACTGTATTGTTTAGGGAAAAATGACAGGAAAAAAAGTCTATACTGTACGTGTTCAGTACAGACGCAACCACCGTAAGCCTTTCGCTCTGCAATTGGAGGAACCTCCGGATGCGGAACCCACCCCCGCCCAGATGTGGAACCCCAGGATGCAGAGGGCCAATTGTACTGTAAATGTTGAGGGATTTATATAAAACCCAATAGCATTGCTGACCACAGAGATAAGAGTATACTTTCTGAAATGTAGCACATTCCTAGATAGTTTTCTTATTAAACACAACCCAAACGGCCTGTTCAGGACCTCCTTGCCCACTTTAAGATTGTCACGTATGTCCTTGTTCTCAGTCTATGCTTAACTGTACTAAAAGCCACTTACACAAAAGTACCTACAATTCCTTTACTTTTTAAAAGCCATTTTTGCTTGAAAAAAATTACTATTCAAATTATATTAAGTGAAAATATATTATTTTAATTTCTTTTCAAATGAAAGTATAAATTACTGTTATTATCTATAATACACAAATACAAAAAGATACAAAGCCCTCTGATTTAGCCCTTTACTATCTTGATTCTCTCTGTTTTTCACTGGTTTTATTTCCTTTTTAAAAGTAGAAACGTGATCTCTTTTCTCAGCTTTTCATCTGAAATATAGGAGATATGCTTCAAGATAGGCTCCAAACTATATTGCCAAGTGATTTCTCTCAAATGCATTTCAAGGACTGAAATGATTTGTTTGGGTTTGGGTTTTGGTTTTGCTTTCCAATCATTCCACTTACCACTTTGATTCCCTCTAACACAAGCAAATCTAAATTGATAGATAGGATATTCCCATGGTGACCTTTCTGCATAGCCCAGAGCCAATCTATCAATAAAATATGTCCTTCAGTCTCCATAACCACAGGGTTCTATCAAGTGAGTGCTCACAAAAGGGTTTACTAGTTACTCCTCTCATGACAGGTACTATCTACATATAAATCAAGTCAAGGTTGCTGATATTGCTTTGTTCTCTCATCTCAGGGAAACGAACTAGAGGATACTCTTGTGAACTAAAATAAGATCTAAGTGAACTTGCACAGCCTTTAAAAACATGTCCTTTCACTGCAGAATTCATAATGGGTTTTCAAAGCTATATTGAGCACCAGAAATTGGAGACAAGGAAAATAAAAAATTAAGGAGAGTAAAAATTATCCACATCATATGTAATCCTGCTAGAAGAGTGTTTTTCAGCCAAGAGATAAAAGACAAACCTAATTTAGCCAAAGTATCTTCTAAATCTGTGATCATGTCTTTAATATACATTAAGTAAAGAAAGTTGTTGAGCTCTTTTTTCTATGGAAAAAATCATAAAATAATAAACCAACAAGTCCTTAAAGAACCTTGACTACACATAATTATTATTCTTTGAATAAATGCTGTTTCTTATAAAAATCTTTTGGATCTTTCGCATCTGTCCTATTCAATAATCCTGATTGATTGAGGATCAGGGCAATAATAGAGAGAAAACTGCAGAATTTTGCAAATTAAGTCAAAGCAAGGTCAAAGTCTGACAAATTGTTACCAACCTCTTGTAGCAATATCACAATGTGAATCCAAAACAAAACTCCTACGAGGTTGTGGGTATTACACACCAAGGCGCTCACATTCTATAATCCATAAAATCTTAAGAGTTAGGGAGTACCTTCCAAACAACTCAAGAATACCATCTACAACATCCTTCATTTCAACAATATACTAGGCTTGGATTAATATAAATGATGAGATGCTCACTATACCATTAGATGCTGGTGATTACTTTTATAAAGTTCTTCCTTATGTTGAGTTGAAATCGGTCACTATTTAAGAATCCAATAAAAAAAATCTAGTTTGACATAACTTGTTCCTGGAGAATCCATGCTGACTGTTCGTAATTACTGCCATTTTCTACAGTTTGGTGTAGGTACATGGTACGCAGGCCTCCAGTTGTACCTTCACTCTGCTCACTACAAATGTTAAGGATAGGCCTGCCCAAACTTTCCAGCACTCCATATCACCACTTCTTCCTTATTGGTCAGATTTGCTTCTCTCACTGTTTCTTCAAACTTCTAAGACATACAGTGGTCATAGATGGAGGATAAAAAGTCATCAGTTATTCCACTTTTAAGAAAAGACTTCCCTGAAATTCTTTAAATGTATTATCTCACTATGTTACTGTAACAGTTTTTTAATCTGGAGCAGGAAAATTCTTGATACAGTAAGCTTCTGTAACAAAATCACTCCTCTTTTCTTCTCTTTTTTCCTCCCATCCAAATGCTCTCTGCTATCATTCTTTTCTTAAGTTTATGGGTTTCCATGCAAGAGTATATATTCACTATATGTGAATATATATTTCTCTACTTTTATACTATACTACTATATATTTCTCTACTTTTTTTTTAAATTATTTTGTGAACATTCAACACTACATTCATGAGAAAATAAATAAATATGTTCAAGACTTAAAAAACACAACAAGA